CCCTAATGAGCCCGACGCTCAACACCGCAAATCAGAAGACGACTGTGAGGGCCCGCAGCGCGCCCGCCCCGCTCACCGCCATTTGTACGCTTTATATTTAACCGTCAAAAACTTCCATCTGTGAAAACTCAGGAATGAGAGAAGAATAAGAAATGGCGAAAACATCAGAAAAACACAAAAACAGCTCAAAGCCGAACGGAACTCTCAGTCTGAATCCGCGAAATACATTCCAGGCGCAGCAAAGCAAAACGCGTCTTCAGGGTCATGTGCTCCATAGAAAGCAGCCGCAGCCCGAGGAGGGAGGCCCGTCCCCTGCCAGCGTGCTGCTGAGAAGCCTTCCCAACCTGCACGGAGCAGCAGCCCCCTCTGTACCATTGTATCGATGTCCATTCCTGGTTATTGCCTCAAAATGATGTCGTGAGACCTCCACCAAGCGCTGACAGATTGAGAAACGCTGCAGAGGAGGAGCCTGGCTTTCAGTGTGGAAGCAGTGGTCTCTCTGTAGAGAAGGACCCCTCCAAATCATTGGATTCAGGTGTTCCGTGACATTTCCCGGCTACTAAATATTCCGCGGTCACCTGTTACTGGGATTATAACAAAGTGGAAGCAACTGGGAACAACAGCAACTCAGCCAGGAAGTGGTCGGCCACGTCACATGACAGAGCGGGGTCAGCGCATTCTGAAGCGCACAGTGCGCAGAAGTCGCCAACTGTCTGCAGAGTCAATAGCTACAGAACTCCAAACTCCATGCGGCCTTCAGATTGGCGCAACAACAGTGCGTAGAGAGCTTCATGGAACGGGTTTCCATGGCCGAGCAGCTGCATCCAAGCCGCACATCACCAAGTGCAATGCAAAGCGTGGGATGCCGTGGTGTAAAGCGCGCCGCCACTGGACTCTAGAGAAGTGGAGGCGTGTTCTCTGGAGTTCAGTACCTGACCTCACAAATGGTCCAACATTCCCATAGACACACTCCTAAACCTTGTGGACGCCTTCCCAGAAGAGGCGGAGCTGTTATAGCGGCAAAGGGCGGAGCCAACCCAATACTGAACCCTACGGACTATGACTGGGGGGCCATTAAAGTTCATGTGCGTGTAAAGGCGTCCCAATACTTCTGGTAATATAGTGTATATGAGATGTAACTTATTGTATATACACAAATGTCTCGGAATGAGATCTCTGCGGACTTCACCATCCAACGCAGTGAAAACAATTAAACATGAGGGCGGTTTGCTGCTTCTCAGGGGTGATGGTGTCACTGCTTTGCACGGTGAAGGATCGCAGAGATACAAATCTGATACATTTGTTTGGATTCTCGGGATCAGAGTTTACATTCGGGAATACAATGTATCCAATGACTTACACTGAACATTCGATACGTGTGGATACATTTATTTGGATAACATAACCAAAGCTCTGAACGCCATACAACACGGAGATTGTTCAAGTGGATAAAATGCGGCCAAGCCTTCAATTCTGGAGTCAGTCTAACAGAGGACACCCGGGGGAAACAAGCGTGTCTTTCCTAAAAGGTAAAAATCTGCTACAAGGTCTTCAGCGATCC